ATTGACAGCAGTGGAAGTCAATGGCTCCCACTTTGTCTCAACCAATGAGAAGTGCGATTCCTGGATAGCTGATACTCCAGTATACATCGCTGGATCGAGAGGGGGCATAGGTGAGTACTGACGGAGCTTAGGTGAGTATTGGGGGGTGTTGTGTGGGGGGGGAGGTTGGGGGGGGGGGGGGGGGGGGGCTGGGGGGGATGCTGCGCAGGGAAGGTTTTGTACCTTCATGCATAGAATGCACGAAGGTAAAAAACCTTGGGCCTTTACAACCACTTTAAATGCATGTACAGTAAATACCTGAATCTGAGCTGCTGTAAGCCTCTTGTAGACCTTCTACAGGAGGACTCAATCTGAGAAAAAGAAGCAGTACAAGGAGCCAAACAGTTTATGTACTGACAAGAAGCATGCTGATAGAAATAGAAAACAGAGTGACAGGGAGACGAGCTCATCAATCTGCTGCTTTATGTTTCACTGTCCAGTCACAGGCTGGGGCTAATCAAGGACAACCTGAACTCAGATGAAGTAAGTTGAATCATACTAGCCATCAGACTGAGTGACTAGCGGCAGAAAAATAGTACTGAGGGGAAATCCCTGAATTGAAGGTGAATATCACAGCAGAAGTTGGTTTTGATATTTTATATTTTAATGGGCTATTTTATTTATCTTTATTTTTGGCTGGAGACCTGCTTTAAATACTGATACTGTAGCTGCTGATGTTTAAAAATCAGGTACTTACCACTGCTTGGGGTCCTGAGGAACTACTGTGCATGGTCAAGCTCATGCAGTGATTTGTGAATGGTCCTGCAGCCATCACATGTCCCAAGAGGCTATGGGAGGGAAGGTGGTTTGGGCAAGGGATGTCATCCACACCTAGATGAACATTATGGAAGTGTAAGAGAGACTGATGAAAATAGGTACTTTGCTGCTCCCCCCCCCCCCCCAATAAAACAAAAACTGTTACAGGCACTTTTTGAGTGAAGTTCCACTTCAAGATGCTGTTTGTACATAATGTGGGATGATTTACTAAAGGCAAACATGTTTAATCATTTTGCAGGGAATTTTTTTTTTTGGAAGGAAATTTCACTTAGCTTAATAATAAATATGGTAAAAATTAATTTTCAAAGATTATCCAATTATGTGCAAGGAAAATAAAAAAAGCCACACCATTTATTGCATTTTCTTGCAGGTATTATATTGAGGCGGTAAACTCGCTACCTAATCTCTGAAAGCATTAAAAAAGAAAAAACTTACACACACCCTGCCAATACTTGCAATGTGTTTCTAATTTAATACTGTAATGTTTGGAGTTGTATTCTTGGATAGTGATAAGTAGGTACTATGCCATTCACAAATATATTCTGTTGACTGTATAATATATTTGTTGGTGTAGTGTGATCAGGGTCAGATTGTCCCAGAGGAGAACAGGAGGATCATGTGTTAGGCCCCAATTAAGATATCACCATGCTGCGCCAGAAGCATTGCCAGGTTCAGAAACCTTAGTTGGGTGCTCTGGTTCTAGGACACCTACCATTACGCAGGTCATCCTAGGCAGGCTGTATGGGCATTGCTAGACTATGGCACTTGGGGCACACACCCCAGATGTCCTGCTGCAACATGCTGACAGCTTGCAGACACAGTACATAGTTTTGACACCATGGTACATTTTCATATCCAGTGACATAAAACCAGTTGAGCCGCTCTTCTTATCTGTGAGGCAAACAGGCACTGATACCAATTATTTTTGTTAATTATTACTATAGTACAGGATTTATAAAGTGCCAACAGTTTGTGCAGCTCTTTACAATATAAAGGGGGATGGTACAATAACGACACAGTTCAACACAGAAGGAATAGGAGGGCCCTGCTCATGGAGTTTACAATCTAAAGCTGTCTGTAAGGTAGCAATTCTTCCAGCTGATCACCAATGTAAGGGATGATCATCCTATTGACCATGTATTGTGTAATGGGGCATTCTTGCTATTTAGCAATATTATTATTTATTGATATTATGTGTATTTTTGAAAATATGTCATAAAGAGCAGTGAGGGTGTAAAAAAAATCCAGTATAGGTGTCAGAAACTCTAGGTATGCCACATTTCTTATTCTTTTACTTATAGCTACAATTTACTGATCATACAAATGCACTGTAAACTCTAGATAGAATAATTTAGAAGGGATTACCTGAGATCTGCAAATCTCAAAGGATTGGTAAAAGACATTGCAAGTTGATAATACAACATTGCGGACTTTGAATTCAGAGAGATTAAATCTTTGGCAAATGTATAAATCTTGAAGTGAAGCCATCAGGTCACGAGCATTTTATGATGACTATACTCTCAATCCTGAATATGGGAAAAACCTCCTGTGCTAACACTAAACCCCAGCAAAAATGCTAAACTAAAACCCCCCAATCTGGAAAAGCTGCTAGCACCCAACTATATGATCAAATGGTGAAGAACAACAGAGAAGAAGATGGTGCTGCGCTAATCAAATCTAAATAAATCAGCATTGAAAAGTGGGAAAGAAGTAATACCCATAAATACACTCTCATATGTGAAAAAATAGAACAGACAGTACAATCAGCACAGGTGCACTGTCATAAATGAAAAAATAGCACAAACAAACATGTCCTCAACTCAAACATGATGAACCCAAACAAAATGTGCTATAGTGATACTGTAAATAAACTGGACATGTAGAAAAAATAGAAAGTGAAGACCATAAAGGTAACAGTGCAACCGTGACACAAAAACTGTGATAAACATGTATACCACCTATCAGAACATGAAACAACATAAAACCCAAATGTGATGAATGATGGTGAATAAATTATAAATATGCATGAGAACAAATATATATTAACACATAAGTATACGTGATTAATAACGCTGCGACCCCTAAAGGCAACACACATCAAAGGCGCTCAACACCAAAGGTCAAAATACCATGGGGGCCTTACGCAATAATCCAGGACCCGTCAGCAACAGTGGTGGTATCCCCCTCCTAGTGGAAATGTACCGGACAGCCTCTCAACCAATCCCAATAAAGAGAGATAGGAGCACTTCCACAGTGTAGTTGCCCTGAGGAAGTCACATGATCCATGATGTAACGTGTAGGACAGAAGTGTGGTGACGTCAGTTCAGGGGTGGACGGCAGCTGCCATCTTGCTACACCCATGCAAGTACAACCAGACTGCTACATGCTGTTCTGCACTTGTGGTCTGCAGACCCTGTGTATTCCATTCTATGTAAGCGAACATTTAGCGTTGTGTTACCTAATAAATTTTAATTATTACTACATTATGGAAGTGCTCCTTTCTCTCCTCTTTATTGGGATTGGTTGAGAGGAGAGGGATACCACCACTGTTGCTTATGGTTCCTGGATTATTGTGTAAGGCCCTCATGGGATTTTGACCTTTGGTGTTGAGCGTCTTTGAAGTGTGTTGGCCCTTAGGGGTCGCAGCATGGAGGTGAGGAGGCATTTTAGCCGGTGGTGGATTATTTCAAGTTGATCACTTTCACTATCACCTATTAAGTTTTACATGGGAATTTTTTTTTGCATGCAGTTGTTTTCGTGGAATTTACACTATATGTATATTTTTTGTGCTTATTCACTTTTTTTGTGGCATCATCAGTGACGTGTCCTTGTGTGTTTGCATTTCACACGTATACCATTTTTTGATTATTAGTCACATGTACTTATGTGTTAATATATATTTGTTCTCATGCATATTTATGATTTATTCACCATCACTCATCACATTTGGGTTTTATGTTGTTTCATGTGCTGATAAATGGTATACGTGTTTTTGTGCCACTGTTCCACTGTTACCTTTATGGTCTTCACTTTCTGTTTTTTTCTCCATGTTCAGTTTATTTACAGTATCACTATAGCACATTCTGTTTGGGGTCATCACGTTTGAGTTGAGGACGTGTTTGTTTGTGCTGTTTTTTTCACTTATGACAGTACACTCTCAATCCCACCACTGGAGACCAGGATGTGATATATTACACATTCAGCTGTGCAGAGATTTTCCTGCTCAGCAAGAAAAATCTAAGCAACAGCAGACTAAGCGTGATTGTCATTAGGGTAGGTTGGCTATGCAGTTAATCCTTTACACAGTTTGTAGCTGCCACGATGTGTTTTATTAAAAGCACACACTGTACACGGCATCTACTGTTACAATTCTGACCTTTGTCGAAAATGTCTTTATCTCTTGGTTCCACACCCAGGTAGGAATTTAAAAGAGGTTATATATACATAATATGGTAGCTTTTTCAAGGCACAAGTATTTCTAATTAGAGCAACAATGTTTAAATCTTGCTTTTATTGAAAAACAAGAAAATTGTGCAAGAAAAATATTTACAGAAAACATTTCAAAACAGACATATGCAACAGTAAATAGCATTATTAAAACAAAAATAAAAAGGTTATATATTGCAACTTACCATTCCTTATACATGTTGAATGCATTTGTTTTTTTAATTTGTTTTTCCCTTTATTTACCCCAGTGATCCAGCCAGTAACACGCTTTCAGTCTTGGAGTATCTCCTCTCTGGATGGAAGAGCACCAGAGACACTTTTGGACAGAAGCATTGTCAATCTAGGAAGAGGGTAATTTCAGATGCATTAGCAAATGTGATAGACTTGACTAAGATAAAAATGAACTTCATCTAACAATTTTGAAGGAGTTACACAGCAACAGTTTTTTTTTTTCATTTGGCAAAAAGATTTCACATGCAGTGCTCAGCATAAATGAGTACACCCTAACAGATTTGTCAGAAAACCTTTACTTTCCTTGCAGAATAAATATTTTCTATGGGACAGTATACTAAAATCTACTCCCACAAATGCAGGCCATTGATTGCCATTAAGATTTGGTAATTTGCACACACAAAAAAGTATTTTTCCCAACAAATTCATTCAAGACCATGTTGCAAAAATGAATACACCCTAATGAAAGACTTAGTAGCAAAGCTTAATTTTAGACAACAAAATCTTAATCCTAGGTTCACATCTATGCGGGTGGTGCTGCTGTGGATCCACACAAAAATCCATGCAGCCGCACAGAAAATGCAGACCCACGGGGGGGGCCATTAATTCTAATGGCACGCCACCAGCACTGGAAAACGCAACCGTACTGGGAACCAAGGTTCCTGTGTGGGCTGTGTTTTCCAAAGAAGCACAGGGACTTCTTCCCTACGTGTCCCGGGCACGGGAGTCCATTCAAATGAATGGGCTCTCATGCCCGTGCAAAACACGGCCCGCACGGCCACATATATGTGAACATGGGGGTGATGAGCAAGCATTCAAATACAGGTGAATCTAATTATTAATGAAATGAGTGTCTAGCAGACAGTTGATTATAAAAGAGCATTACTTAACAAAGAAAACTCCTTCCCATTTCATGCTGTCAGCAATGGCACCACATGGAAGAGAAAGGTCACAAGGCCTGAAAAAGAAAATTATTCCTTTACACAAGAAAGGTGAAGGCTACAAGATCAGGAAAGCTTTACTTATCAGCCAGAATACTGCAGAAAAAGTGATACAAAAATGTAACAAAGATCGAACTGCAACCATCTCACTCTGAGACATCCAGGCCGTCCATGGAAGTTAACACCTCAACAGGAACAACTTCTGATGAGAAGGGTTAAAGAAAATCACCATGCAAGTTCACTGCAGTAAGCTAAAGAAGTAGAAAGCCACACTAGAGTGATTGTTACCCGTTACACAATACGGCGTACACTGCAGAGGAATGGCATGCATGGGTGTCGTCCACCAAGGAAGCCTCTCCTAAAGCCCATGCACAAAAAAGCCCGCCTAGAATTTGCCAGGGCCCATGCTGAAATAGAAGAAGTCTACTGGAACTCTGTATTCTGGAGCAGGGGCGGACTGACCATTGTAGCACTCGGGCACTGCCCGAGGGCACGGGGTCAGTAGAGGGCCCCACAAAATGCCCCTGGTACCTTTTTATAGGCTTTTTTGGGTGTACTTTGAGTGTGGGTAAGGACACAGGGGCCCCATGATCCCCTATTGCTTGGGGGCCCCATGAGTTGTCAGTCCGCCTCTGTTCTGGAGTGATGAGACCAATGTTTTTGGAACTTATGGCTTCAAAACAGTGTGGCGTGGCAAAGGTGAGGAGTACAAAGAAACATGCATGGCGCCTACAGCGAAACATGGTGGTGGCAGTGTCCTTCTGTGGGGCTGCATGAGTATTGCTGGTGTCGGGGAGCTGCACTTCATTGATGGTATCATAAATTCACAAATGTACTGCTCTATATTGAAAGAGAAGATGCTACCATCACTCCGTGCCCAAGACAAGTTGACCATCACTCTCCATCCAGCATCCAGGCTCTAAAAGAGATCGTTCTTGAAGAATGGAAAAAGACCAATGTTGCAATATGTTGCCAACTTGTTCATTTCATGCCTAGAAGATTTGGTGCTGCCTTACAAATCATGGAGGTCATACAAAATAGTAGATGGAGTAGTTTTTGTTGTGAGGTGTATTCATTTTTGCATCAACTAATTGTAGTAAAACTGAAGATTTTGTAATATTATTAACCTTCCTTTCATGTAATTAAACTCAGTTTTGTCACAATTTTGGGAATTGTTCTTGTGTTCATTGAGATATTGATTAAAAACTTTTAAATTGATTAAAAACATTTCAAAAAGGGTGTGCACATTTATGCTGAGCACTGTAAATGAATAAAATCTATTACACCACCTAATTCTTGGGTTTAGATATACTTTAAATGTGATCTTTGATTCTATGAAGAGTCCAATTCACATGCAGAGTATGGCCAGTTTGATATTTCAGAGTCACTGGTCATCTAAATGTGTCATAGCTTTGATGATAAAACAAAAACTGTAGCTGCCAAATGCAGCAGCATTTTGTTATTCTGGAGAAAGTGGTACGAAGCTAATCCCACCCTATTGAAAGGTCTGTGGGGATGGAAACTGGAATCAAGCCTATTACTAATATCTTGGTTCCAGGGGAGTTTTGTGACACTAGTGGGCCTCTGTACAAGATCATAAGCTGGGCACCATTACTTTACAAAAGAGTGGACATGGTTTTCATTGTGACTGGGGTGTTGCTAGGCTTCTAAAAGGTCTGGGGCGTGTTTGGGAACTATAACTGGATTATTAATGCAGCGCGCGTAGTGTGCCACAGCAAATGGTTAGTGTGGACTCATTGAAATTGAGTTAACAGTGGGAGGGGTTTAAAGGAGCATAGTAAAATAAATAAATAATAACTAGAACAAAAGCCTTTTTGTACCCATAAAATATGCCTAGATTGCTGTGCCACAAGGAACAGTCTCACAGACATGTATAACCTCAGCACAGTGATTTAAAAAAAAAAAAAAAAGTTAGAGAGCTTTATAAAAATAGTCAGAACACTTTATCTAGGCCCACCTTATAAACGACCTTCATTAAAATAGTCTGGAATTGCTTAGCAACCAGCAACACACCAATAAACACTTTGGTGAGAAATATGTAATGTACACTATAGTATATATAATGCAGGAGTGGAAATATTTTTACCGTGTCTCCCCATCCTCAGGTGTCACTGTACCCCCCATCCTCAGTCTGCACAGCTCTCCCCCAGCCTTAGGCTTCACAGTCCCCCCATCCTCAGGCTTCGTATTTGTCCCTATTCTCAGGTTTCATATTCCCCCCATTTTCAAGCTTCACAGTCCCCCCACCCTCAGTCCTCGCAGCCCTCCCCATCCTCAGGCTTCACAGTCCCCCATCCTCATTCTTCACAGTCTTCCCCCATCCTCAGTCTTCATAGTTCCCCCATTCTCAGGCTTCACAGCCCCCCTATCCCCAGGCTTCACTGTTCCTCTATCCTCAGTCTGGTCTGCACAGCTCTCCCCCCTCCTCAGGCTTTACAATCCCCCATCCTCACAGTCCACCCATCCTCAGGCCACAGCCCCCCCCCTCCATTTTCTGGCTTCACAGTCCCCCCATTCTCAGGCTTCACATGCCCCCCATCTTCAGTCCTCACAGTCACTCCCATCCTCAGGCTTTACAGTCCCCACCATCCTCATGCTTCACATTCCCTCCCATCCTCAGGCCTCACAGTCCCCCCCATCCTCAGGCCTCACAGTACCCCCCCCCATCCTCAGTCTAAAAAGCTCTCTATTATCCTCAGCCTTAAGAACCCCCATCCTCAGTCTTCACACTCCCTCATCCTCGGGCTTCACAGTCCCTCCTTCCTCAGACTTCACTGTTCCCCTTCCACATCCTCAGTCTTAACAGTCCCCCATTCTCAGACTTCACAGTCCCCCCCCCCCATCTTCAGTTCTCCGCATCCTCGGGCTTCCCAGAACCCCCCCATCCTCAGTCTTCCCAGTCCCTCATCCTCAGTCCTCACAGCCCCCCCCCATCCTCAGTCCTCAAAGCCCCCATCCTCAGGCTCCACTGTCCCCCCATCCTCAGTCCTAACAGCCCCCCCATTCTCAGGCTTCACTGTTCCCCTCCCAAATCCACAGGTTTCACAGTCCCTACCATTCTCGGGCTTCACTTGTCCCCCCTTCCTCAGACTTCACAGTCCCCCTTCATCCTCAGACTTCACAGTCCCACCCATCCTCAGTCTTCTCAGTCCCTCACCGATCCTCAGTCTTCACAGTCCACCCCCAAACTCAGTCCTCCATTCCCAAGCTTCACAGTCCCCCCATTCTCAGCCTTAAGTCCTCCTCATCCACATACCTCACTGTTAACCTCCCAAATCCTCAGTCTTCACAGTCCCCCCCCCATCCTCAAGCTTCACATTTCCTCCATCTTCAGGCTTCACAGTCCCTCCATCCTCAGACCTCACTGTTCCCCTCCCAAATCCTCAGTCTTCACAGTACCTCCCATCCTCAGGCATCACAGTTCTCACTATCCTCAGTGCTCACAGTCCCCCTTCATCCTCAGACTTCACAGCCCCACCCATCCTCAGTCTTCTCAGTCACCCCCCCCACCCATCCTCAGTCTTCACCGTCCCACCCCCACCCCCAGTCCTCACAGCCCCTCCCCCCACCCAACATCCTCAGTATCTCCAGTCCCCCCATCCTCAGTCCTCACAGCCCCCCCCCCCCCCAACATCCTCAGTATTCCCAGTCCCCCATCCATCCTTAGCCTTCCCAGTCCCCCCACCCTTGGTCTTCCCATCCCACCTCCAGCTCATCTACACAGTTCCCCTCCCTAAATGTATAGACCTTACCTCAGAGGCTCATATCTCTCTCTTACAGGCATGGGAGATTTCCTTTCTTCTGGGCTCCAGTGGATGACATTACCATCAGCCACCCCCCAGAGAAGCTGTACCTGACCCCAGTAGTAACAGCATCTGTATGAGTAAGGATTGAGGCACACATATCCTGTGACAGGATCCAGAGAGTGGCAGTGACATGAATGGCTGCAGTGCCTTGGGCTTGTCTCATCCATCCATGGGAGCAAAATTGGTGATAGCATAGCAGACCCCATACCCACACTTATGTCACTGCTTGGTTCCAAGTTGGGAAGTTGATGTGTATATAAATAGGGAGGTCATTTTTAAGGTCACATTGGAGATGGTTAGTGATACTGGGCAGAGTAGATGGGGTAAAAGGATTGAGAAATTATGTTGAGCTGAAGAATGAGGATGTCTCTCTTTTTTTTTATTACAATCTACCACTCTTATTTCCAGGGCTTTTTTTCTCAGAGAATAGGTGCAGGTACTCTGACCCACTGATCCTGTAATATAAAAGAGGGAGCCATGGAGAAGGGTAGAAGAAGTAGAGAAAGTGGTGGGAGGTAGCCAAAAGCCTGTAAGAGAACCCCATGAGGGAGAAGATCAAGAAACCAGTATCCAGGAGGAGTACAAGAATGTCACCTGCTACTGACGTAATGTAAAAGGGCCTCTGTACCTGGGGTTCGTGCCGGAAGATACCAACTTCTGGAAATTGCCACTAATGGACTCCTGTTTGTACATGGATGCTACCTCTGCAGATATGCTGGGGCAGCACATAGACTGAGTTAGCAGTAGGGATAATCCGGTTCTTGTATGCTGGGCTTTGAGATGCCCGTTCTGCACTTTTCCAAGTAATGCTTTGAAACCTTGTTCCAGCCTGATCTGAAGCTACTCAAGGATGTAATACAAGCAGGGGCAGACTGACAACTCATGGGACTCCCGGGCAATAGGGGATCATGGGGCCCCTGTGTCCTTGCCCAAACTCAAAAAAGCCTATGAAAAAAGTACCAGGGGCATCTCATGGAGCCCCCTACTGACCCCGGGCCCTCGGGCAGTGCCCGAGATTCCAAATGGTCAGTCCGCCCCTGAATACAAGTAGCCAGCACATGTGGTCTACAATTTTGGTCATTTAACACACTGGGGTAAAAAGACAGCTCCATAGCGACGGGAACAGGCTTGCGCCACAAAGGTCCCCAGCCTGTATATAGTGCAGAAGAGTTAAGTGAAGTTAAGTGTGCGCATGGAGTCCACTCTAGGTGCACAGCAGGACCCTATACCATTACTGGGAGTGAGGTAGTGGTGATATGCTGAACGGGTGGATGTGGTCAGGGCACAGCAAGTCCCTTCTAAATGCGAACTACAGAGACAGTGTGTATTGTCACAGGGACCCCAGAGTTAACTGGAGAACAGTGATAGTGCGAGTGTATGTATCTTCAACAGTAGAGGCTTGCCTTATAGTCGAGTATTCCCATATGGCAGCCTCAGTCTTGTCCCAGGGCATTTGTGGAAGTGGTATACACCCACCCCATGCCCAGCCCAGAAGAACCCACTCTGAAGGTCTGCCATCACCTGTTTACACTACCCTTTACAGCTGGTTGCAAAAAAGCATTGGATCATGCCGATCTTGATATGATGCAAAGCTTTTAAGGGCAGGGAAGAGATCTGGGGTCTAATAGACCCCAGAATT